ATGTCTAGAAGATAAATGTGTAGAGCTACAAATTCAAAAACAACTTAAAAAGACAGACTATAAATTCTGTAAAGATATTTTTACCCCACAAACTTATGGAGCCTCTAGTTCAAGAAAAAATAAGTATAGTAACAAGGAAAGAAAGAATAAAAGATCTTTTAAGAAAAGATACTTTCTTAGAAAATCTAATAAGAGAAAATCATACTTAGATGAAAAAAGACATGTTAGGAAATTCAAACCAGAAAGAACTTACAAAAATAGACTTAGTTGTTATGTTTGTAATAGTAATGAACATTTATCTAAAACCTGTCCAAAAAGAATAAATAATTATGATAAGAAGAGTACATTAATAGAGTGTACTAATGAAAATTTAATACAATTAGATGAATATATTTCAGACAAAGAATCTATTTATAGTATTATATCAATAGAAGATAAAAATTTAGAAGAAAACAAAGAATCTGATTATGAAATAATAAATGATTTCTCTAATATAAGATTACAAGAAGAATCAAAATCAGAAGAAGAACTAAATTTAATGAATAATGTAATCATAGAATATTTACATAATTGGCAAAAATATAAAGGAGCGGATAATATAGCTTGTTACTTATGTAATTCGTATCCAGTAAGAAAACTTAGAGCCAAATGTTTAGAGTGTTATAAAGAAACATGTATAAAATATTTAGAAGAAAAGAATTTTATTGAAAAAGAAGAAGTTAATTCAGAAATTTTAAAAGAAAGAATTGACATATCAGAAATAAAAATTCTTAGAAAAAGAATTGAAAGCCTAGAAGAAATGCAAAAATTTATAATAAATAAGATAGAAATGTTAGAATATAATAATAAAGGAAAAACAATAGAAATAGAAGAACAAAGTCAAAGCACAGAATATAAAGAAAAAGAATATGTTCAGGTAATATGTAACCCAGAAAAACTTAAAAGTATTAAAGTAAAATGTTATATAAGAATAGGACAATATGAAATAAAATGTTTAGGATTAATAGACTCAGGATGTAGCAATTGTATAATTAATAAGAAATTAATCCCAAAAAAATACATAACATACTCAGACAAACCAATAGAAGCACAACAAATGGATGGAGAACTTTATATTTATACAGAATTATTACAATCAAATAGTAAGATTAGTTTTGAGACAAACTGTGGTAGGAGTATAGATTATACCTTACCAAAAGAATCAGTTTGGGTTAGACCTTTAAATATTAAAGATACAGATTTTATCATAGGATTAAGTTTTTTATTAAAAGATAATGGAAGTGTTACAATTACTAAAGACTTCTTACATCTACAAAAACATACATTATTTACACCTACACAGATTACTTATTTTCCATCAGAGTGCATAGAGAAGTGTGGTGGTAATAAGAGTAGTAATCGTTGTAAGTGTGAAAAAGAAAGAGAATGTCAATTAATAGAGGAAGATAATTTAGAAGAAATAAATTTTGATGAAGAAGATATCTTAGAAATAGATTTTGAAACTATAGAATTAATTGATAATGAAAAGATCTATGATATGTTAATAACAGAATAAGAAATAGAAAATCTAATTTCTAGATTAGAAAAAATGAAAATAATAGGAGAAAATGTTTTAAAATACTGGGAAAAAGATAAAATTTTATGTGAATTAAAAATTAAAAACCCAGAATACATAATTAAAACCAAGAATATTGAAGCTACAAACTTAGATTTAAAAGATTTCAAAACACATATAAAAGAATTATTGGAATTAGGAGTAATTAGGAATCAAATAGTCCTCATAGATCAGCAGCATTTATAGTTAGAAAACACTCGGAAATTTTTAGGGGAAAAAGTAGAATGATTATTAATTATAAAAGACTTAATGATAATACTATAGATGATGCTTATAACATACCAAATAAGACAGTTTTAATAAATAAAATCCAAGACTGTAAAATTTTTAGTAAATTCGATTTAAAGTCAGGATTTTGGCAAGTAAAAATGCATCCAGAAAGTATTAAATGGACAGCTTTTACTTGTCCAGAAGGATATTTTGAATGGCTTGTAATGCCATTTGGAATTAAGAATGCACAAATTATTTTCCAAAGAAAAATTGAAAGTATTTTTAATAGACACAGTAAGTTTGTAATAGTATACATAGATGATATTTTAATATTTAGTAAAAATAAACAAGAACATAGAGGACATTTACAAATAGTATTTTCAGAATTCATTAAACATGGTTTAATAATTAGTAAAAAGAAAATAATTTTATTTAAAGAATTTATAGATTTCCTAGGAGTTAATATAGGAGAAGGTAAAATTAAGTTACAACCCCATATTGCTAAGAAAGCCTTAGAATTTCCAGACAAATTAGAAGATTTGAAACAAATTCAAAAATTTTTAGGATTAGTAAATTATGTTAGACCATTCATAAAAGATTTAGGAAAAATAGCAGGACCTTTATATGCAAAGACATCTCCTACAGGACAAAGATTTTTTAATCAAGAAGATATAAAATTAGTCCAACAAATAAAAGAAAAGATAAAAACCTTACCAGAATTGGTTATGCCTTTAGATTCAGAATATTTAATTATAGAAACAGATAAAAGTATAACAGGATGGGGAGCTATATTAATATGTAAACCCAATAAATATACTGATAAAAGTACAGAAAGAATTTGTAGGTACAATAGTGGAAACTATAGAGAAAAGGAAATCTAAGTAGCATAGATGCAGAATTATTAGCTATAAATTATGCATTAGATAACTTTGAATTGTTTATTATATCTAAGAAAGAAATAATTATAAGAACAGATTGTATAGCCATAGTTTCTTTTGTTAATAAAATGAAAATAGACTAAAAAAGAAGCAGTAGAAGAAGATGGTTAAATTTTATAGATAGAATTACAAATACAGGAATTAATGTAGAATTCGAACATATTAAAGGTAGTGATAATAAAGCAGCAGATATACTAAGTAGAATAATTAAACTTGTTTAATATAATTTTGTTATACAGATGACAAGACCAAGACCTTTAAGACCAGGAATTCCACTTGGGAATTCATTTGCATCAAGATCATTACTACAGACTCCATTTAATCAGAACAGACCAATGTTACAAGACAGACTAAGGTTTGGAAACCAAGAACTTATAGTATTTCCAAATAGTAATATTTCTTTTAAATTTTTTCGCATATTTCTTTATCAAGAGAAGAGAAATGTATTTTAGACAATTTAAGGATTTCTTATAATAAGAATCCAAAAGACCAAAAATATTTTCTTGCATGCATTAATGCACTGTCAGGACATTTTAGTCAAAACAAGCAAAGATTTAAATTTTATGTTGTTATCAAAGGTAAAAACTCAGAAATTTTTCATTCTTGGATAGAAGTTTTAGATTGCATTAAAAATTTTTCAGACCCTCTTTACAAAGGTTTTACAAACTTTCAAGAAGCATTAGATGTAGCAAGACAACAGATAGGAATAAATTTTTATTTATCCCCTTCTTTAAAGAATTACTCAGACCCTCCATTAGACTTCTCTCCAAGCAAAGACCAGAATATTTCCTGCCAACATTATGAGTGTATGCAGAGAAATTACAAAGTTATCAATGAAACCAATCAGAATCTTTCATTAGAAAGAACCCAACTCCAAAAGAAAGTGGCTCAACTCGAAAAAGAGATTTTGGATCTAAAAGTCCATTATCCAACAGGTACTATGGAGCCCAAGAAGTCCATAGCTAGTCCAGCCCAAACAGTAGCTGGTAAAGACTTATCAAATCCGTTGAAGGTTGTGGACTTACCAAAAGCCTAACGGACTCAGGGGACTGTTGATTCATCTATTAAATTAGATAATCAGACTCAACAGATGATAAATCTGCTACAAAAAAGGGTAAAGAAATTTGGGATCTTTTAGGACAGCCCAATGAAAAATTTGATTACCTAGTCAAATACAGTCCACTAGATCATTTTTCTCCGGAACATTTTTCAAATAATCCAGAAATTTCACAAACCCAAGAAATTCAATCCAATAAAGGAAAAGAAAAAATATTAGCCCAAGATAGTCAAGACTGTTTATTTTTTCAAGAATCACAAGATTTTAATCCAGATACTGTTTCTTTAGAAAAAAATTTTGAAAAAATTGAAGAATTCCAGAAGCAATCCAAAAAAGATGAAGGAACTTCTTCTAGAAATATTCCCAACTGTAGACCTTTAGAAATTTTAGCAAAAAGACAGAAATTTTTACCGCTTGTCAGAATGGCCAGAAGTTTCTCGGTGAAACGTATGTCTTTCTCAAGGGTAGTTTAGACCCTTTGCTCCCAAAAATCTTTCTATTTAAGGAACGGGTTTCATTTGGTTTGGTAGAAGTTTACAACCTGTGTACTCTCTGCTATTTAAAAAATCTTGAAACCGCTCCTCCAAAAAAATTCTCAATCCAAAAAATATTGTATAGCTGAAGCATCCTTGTGAATATTTAAGGTATTCTTGTATTCTATTAAATTTATTTTAGAACTTTAGGGACTTCCCGAAAAGGAAATCCTTAGTTATAAACCTTTTAAAAGATGAATTTATAAATCCTTGATTTATGTTTTACTCTTTTGTTCATGTGTTTATGTTCATATTTTTAAGTAAATATTTGTCATGTTTATCATTTCATCCTATAGATATAATAAAAGCATAACTTGATTTCTAGAAGTCATGCTATTTTTAGGTTAATCCTGAGTGACCCAGATGAATGAAAACTTTTGGTCAAAATGAGCCTTTTGATATTTTCTAGAGATGCTGGGGAAAGGGAAAAAATTAATCTAAGAATTTTATAAGGGAGTGCCACGGGTAACCTTTTAAAAAGAAATCAGGTTCAAGTTTATATGTTATAAGTGGTGAAAATTTAAATGAAAAAAAAAAAGGAATTTATATATGATTCTTAAGAAAGATTTATAGAAAACTAAGGAGAGTACTGAGTAGGATTAAAGTTATTAAAAGTTTAAACAAACAGCCATTACAACAGCCTATTAAAACAGCATACCTCCCCATTTGGTATCATATATATATTGAAAAATGTGCACCTAGGCGCGCCTTGCCACACCTTTGGCGGTCAACGAACGCCGTTAACTGCCAAATAATAAGGCCACACCTCGCGCCTAGTGACAATAAATAGGAAGATGTAAGAATGTATAGTGACAAACTGGAAATATGTAGGTGTCCAAAAACCTTGCCCTGACATTATAAATGAAATTTCTGGGGAAAAAATAAATAAAAAGGAAAAAGAAAATAATCTAAGAAAAAAGTCCAACGTAGGGCACGGGCGTGACTAAATAAGTGACAGTTGATTCATCAAGATCGGCTTCCTTGAACATCTCAAACAACGCATCCTTACTTGCCATATCAGCTTCTTCTTCGCAAATCTCAAGAATGGAAGTGACCGTTTGAGGTTTCGGATGCCAACCTTCCCTACCTTTACCCCCAGCCAAAAAGGCTTCTCCTAAGCAAGGCAAAGCCTTAGAAATCCTCCTCTCTTGGGTGTGGATATTGGCAAGAATCTGCCATGTATCCGGACTCGGTTTTATTCCCGCTTCAATCATTTGGTTGAAGAATGTCTCAGCTTCTTTAAAAAGCCCTTTCCTTGCATAACAATACAATAGATAATTTCTTTTTTTAAGACCAGGCTCCTCAAAAGGTACGCAATCAGAATCAGAATCAGAATCAGAATCATAATCATCAGGTCTGGAAAACCATTCGTCGTACATCTTTTCAGCGTCTTCAATATCACCCATTGTAAATAGACATTTAATTAATGTCATGTAGCCATTAGTAGAGTCTTTGGACAAGACAGACTTGTAAGTTTCCCACAATCGGTTAAGCTCGCGTCTGTTGCCAAGGCTACAGCAGACATCCATGAGAATCATGTAATCATAATCCAAGCAATCTACATTCCACGTTATTCTACTCTCAATTTCGTTCAAACAGTCCCGAACCTTTTCAAGCTGCCCCAACTCGTTGTACATTAAAGCTATTTTGTAGAATTGATGAAAAGGGAAACCGGGGGTCTCCCGTTGCACATGTTTGAATATTTTATCCAAAGATTCTTGAGATTGACAGGACCACAGCCAAATACTGTAGGAACGGCCTCCTAATTGTATGTTTTCCTCTATCATTGTTGAGATCAGTAACTCGACCTTGTCATTATGCTTGAGGTCCTTGTATAATTTCAGCATTGGATAGAATGAATCCTCATCACTAGCATAACCTGCATTTCTCATTTTATGAAATAAGGATTCAGCATTCATCTTCATTCCAGCAACCACATACCTAATCAAGAGAGCATTATACGTTCTGTTGTCCTTCATGGCATCTGGCAATTTCAGGAAGTATTTTTCAGCACTTGGAACTCCATGTACTCTTGCAATCAAATACAACTGCCTAGCAGTGTCCTCCGGTGTCATTTTGTCACTCTCTTTCCACTTATTTATCCGCTGGTGGACCTGCAGAGTGTACAAGAACAAGTTCATCTTATATTCATATTCTTTGGAGAAAAAAAAATCTATTTTGAGATTCACATCACCCAAACTGAAACTGGCGAGAATCATAACAATTGAATACAAAGCCTCATACAGTATGGGGACGGTGATGGTGAGGAGATACCTGAGTGGAAGATGCCAAAAGACTAAAAATGATATCTAAAATGCTAACTCAGCCATACTATGTGTTGAGAATGAAGATCCTACAGCTACAGATTCTACATAATATCTTCTTTAATCGTCTGTATCAATCCTTTATTCTCTGTAATTGATACTCCATAAGTTTTCCTAAATCAGTTTCACTAGTTAGGAAAGTTACCTTAGTTAGCAATAGGATTATTCTTTTCCTCTTCTATAAAATATTCATTGTACAGACCAATTGATGTGTGGAAAATACAGAAGCGTTTTCTTTCATTCAGTTTCTCTGCTCCACAGAAATTTACATGGTACCCGAGCTCCTAAAATCCCCATAGCTCACACGATTCCAAGCTTCCATACCTTCCAGTTTCCATGGCAGTCAATGTTGAAACTTCAGAGACAGTTAAGATCTCTACCAATGTGTATGACGATCCAAGTGACCCTCTTTTCCTCCATCATTCTGACCAACCGGGCTTGGTCCTTGTGACTCAACAATTGACACAGGACAACCATCCCCTTTGGAGTCATGCCATGCTCATGGCTCTTATCACCAAGAACAAGGATGGCTTTGTGGATGGCTCCATTACCAAACCACCAGAAACATCCACCAGAGAATACAAGCAATGGACTCACTGCAATCTGCTGGTTAAAGGTTGGATTCTTAACACCATTTCACCAAGCATTGCTCGAAGCGTGATGTACAACGACAATGCATCCAACATCTGGCGGGAATTTTAAAGGAACGGTTCTCTAATGCGAATAGTGTGCACCTTTTCCATGACGAACAGGAAATTCATGAGTGTGTTCAAGGAGACATGAGTGTTGGTGAATACTATACAAAACTAAAAGGGTTGTGGGATGCTCGTGATGCTCTAAGTCCTCTTCCAACTTGTGAAGGTGACATAGCAAAGAAATTGCATGAATATCAACAAACACAACGCACTATTCGATTTCTCATGAGGCTTAATCCCGTTTATGCTGGGGCTCGTGGATAGATTTTACTCATGGACCCCTTACCGCCCATGAACAAGGTATTCTCTCTCATTATTCAAGATGAAAGGCAGCGAAATGCATCTTCACAGGTAGTTGGAAAAACATTGGACACAGCTACCTTTGCTGTCAAAAATGGACTGCCAAATTCCAGCAAGAATTTTTCATCAAGAAATTCACATCTCAAATGTCTCTGCAACCTTGCTGGACATAAAGCTGAAAATTGTCGTCAACACTTCCAGTGTGATAATTGTGGCTAGAAAGGTCATACCATTGATGTTTGCTGGAAGCTCAAGCAAGCAAACATTCAAAGGGATAAAAGAGGCGCCCCAAACTCCCTTTCCAAGACTCACAATGTGAATTTCAAATCTGACAAAGCTGAAGTGACATCTTTCTCTTACAGTCTTACTGCCGAACAGTACCATGATCTGCTTGAACTCATTAATCGGACTAAATCGGTTAGTGTTGCCAATCAAGTGTCAACAGTAAGCAACCTCTCAGGTACTACTCCCAGCTCTCCCATATCTGGTAAGGTCATTCGATGGATTTTTGACACGAGCCACTGATCACATGGTTTGTTCCCCTCATTATTTCTCCACTAGCATGCCTATCACCAATCGTTATGTCCATTTACCAAATCATGCCCTTGCTCAAGTAACACATATAGGGACAATTCGCTTTCCCAGTAATTTGGTCCTTTATAATGTGCCTTGTGTTCCTTCCTTTAAGCTCAATTTAATATCTATAGCAAAATTGACTCAAACCTCTTCATGCTATGCAACATTTACCAGTTGCCTTTGTTTTGTACAGGACCAACATTCGGGAAAGATGATAGGTATGGGAACTGAGCAAGCTCAACTCTACTACTTGGATGCTTCGAAGCATGTTGGGTGCAGCATCTTCGTTGCCATCGTCACTCACTCCAATTCCCACCTTTGGCACCACCGTCTTGGTCATCTCTCTAATAAAAGCCTGCAATGGATCTCTTTATATTCAGATTCTGTTAAATCTCATTTAGTTGATGATTGCTCAATTTGTCCACTTGCTAAACAAACTAGGCAACATTTTCATTCCAGTTCTATTAATACAAAGTCTTGTTTTGAGTTAATTCATGTTGATATTTGGGGTGGTTATCATGTTTCAACTTTGCAAGGGGCAAAATATTTTCTTACTATCGTAGACGATTTTTCTCGATATACATGGGTTATCTCATGCTTACAAAATTTGAAGCGAGAAATTGCTTGCTTACTTTTATATACCTTGTTGAGACCCAATTTAATTCTAACGTTAAAATCATTCGTAGTGATAATGGCCTTGAATTTGCCATCCCAAATACATATCAGGCTAAAGGGATTATCTATCAAACCACTTGTGTCTCAACCCTGCAACAAAATGGAGTTGTTGAGCGTAAACATCGACATCTACTCAATGGAGCTCGTGCCTTTCTTTTCCAAGCTAATCTTCCTAAAACCTTTTGGGGGTGATGCTATTCTTACTGCCACTTACCTAGTCAATCGTATTCCAACTCTTGTCCTTCATGGTAAAACACCGTTTGAGGTAATCTTCCACAAAAGACCCAGTTATGATCATTTACACGTTTTTGGTTGCCTATGTTTTGCCTCAACCCATCACCAAAAACCAAGCAAATTTGATGCTCGTTCCATTCGTTGCATCTTCCTCAGCTATCCTTCTAGTACCAAAGGTTATCTAGTATACGATTTAGCCACTGGAAAGATTTTCATCTCTCGGGATGTTATCTTTCATGAACATATCTTTCCTTACGCTTTCGCTATCCCCATCTCGACTCCATCTGTCACTCGAGATTCTTGGGAACCAACCAACCTGGCCAATTTACCTGATGCAGTGTCCACACTTCCTACCACAATGTTAGCAAATCCAAATCCAGTTGGCATAGAGCCATCTTCTCCTACCGTGACACCACCAACCATTCCATCACCGACTTTGCCCGACACGACACTTCCAGACGCAATTCCCATGTGTCACAGTGACCAGGTCTCACCTTCAGATGTCGCGACCTTAAGACATTACCCCCGCGACAATACCTAACTCCCCATTAATTCTCCTATACCTGACACCCGAATCCGACGACCCACGAGAGCACCCAGCTACCTTCAACAGTATCATGTAGAAGCTTCTTTGCCCACTCGCTCTCTATCGTCGTCTCACTCGGTGTTGGTTGCTTCCAAAGGTATATCTCATCCCTTGTCTAATGTTCTCACTTATACTAGATTATCTCCTAGCCATCGTGCTTTTACAACTTCCATTTCAGCTATCAAGGAGCCTACCTCATTTGCCCAAGCCGTCAAGGATCCAAAATGGCATCTTGCCATGGATAAAGAACTTCGTGCTCTTCATGATAATAAGACATGGTCCCTTCAACCTTTGCCTCCAAATAAGAAACCCATAGGTTGCAATTGGGACTACAAGATCAAATTCAAGCCCGATGGCACTGTTGAGCGCTATAAAGCACGCTTAGTCGCAAAAGGTTATAGTCAGACTGAAGTTGATTATCGTGAGATTTTTGCCCCAATTGCTAAGCTTGTTACTGTACGCTTACTTCTAGTTGTTGCATCTTCCATGAACTGGCACCTTCGACAATTGGATGTTAGCAATGCTTTCTTACATGGCGATCTGGTGGAAGAGGTTTACATGTCATTGCCTCCTGGTTTCAAACAAAAGGGAGAAACAAGTTTATGCAAGCTTCACAAGTCTTTATATGGACTTAAGCAGGCTTTAAGCAGGCTTCCCGTCAGTGATTCATCAAACTCTTAAAAGTCCTCACCCTTGCACACTTCATTCAATCCAAGTCAAATCATTTGTTATTCGTCTGACATCATGGTACTTCCTTTACTGCCCTCCTCGTCTATGTAGACAACATCATTCTACAAGAAATTGAAGGAATCAAAGCTCATCTTATGCAACAATTTAAGGTTAAAGATCTTGGCAACTTGAAATATTTTCTGGGTATAGAGATATCTCGAACCAAAAGAGGGGTTGCTATTTCACAAAGGAAATATGCACTTGAAATATTAGAAGACATGGGGTACTTAGCAGTGAAGCCTGCCAATTCTCCAATGGAGCAAAACTTATCTCTTAGAGGCTGTTTGAGCCATATTTTCCAAGAAATTAACAGAAAATATTTGACTGTTATGGTCTGAAATGGGGTCCACATCAGATACATTTCGTCAAAAAAAGTGGCTGCACATGGGCTCCAACGGTAACATTTCTCATTTTTTTGTCCAAAAAATATGGCTCAAACAGCCTCTTAGTAAGGAAGAAGGCGATTGCATTGAAAACCCCTCTTCTTATCGAAGGCTTATTGGACGATTGATTTACTTGACCATTACACGACCAGACTTGGTTTATGCTGTTCATATCCTCAGTCAATTCATGGATAAGCCTCGAGTACCATATCTAGAAACAGCACAACGAGTTCTATGTTACATCAAGAGTACACCTGGACAAGGTATCTTTCTCCCATCCACAAGTTCACTGCAATTGAATGCTTTTTGTGATGCGGATTGGACTCGGTGTCGAGACACAAGGACGTCAACTACAGGCTATTGTGTTTTCCTTGGACGTTCCCTTATTTCTTGGAAAACCAAGAAGCAATCCACCATCTCTCGCTCAAGTGTAGAGGCCGAATACCGTTCTATGGCAACTGTTTGTTGTGAGGTCACCTGGCTCTAGAACATTTTAAATGATCTTGGAATAAAACATCCACAGCCGATCAAGCTACTCTGTGATAGTCAAGCCGCTCTACACATAGCTTCCAATCCGGTTTTTCATCAATGAACAAAACACATAGAGATTGATTGTCACCTTGTTCGAGAAAAAGTGCCAGCTGGGGTAGTTAAAACTTATCATATACCGACATCAAGACAACCAGCAGACATTTTCACTAAATCATTGGGTGTGCCACAGTTTTTAAAGCTCAACAGAAAGTTAGGAATGATCAACATCTATTCCAACTTGAGGGGGGTGTTGAGAATGAAGATCCTACATAATATCTTCTTCTATCGTCCATATAAATCCTTTATTCTCTGTAATTGATACTCCATAAGTTTTCCTAAATCAGTTTCACTAGTTAGGAAAGTTGCCATAGTTAGCAATAGGATTATTCTTTTCCTCTTGTATAAAATATTCATTGTACAGATCTATTGATGTGTGGAAAATACAGAAACGTTTTCTTTCATTCAGCTTCTCTGCTCCACAGGAATTTACACTATGGTTACAATGTAAACAAAATCAAATGAGATTAATCATTTGTTCCTAGGTTAAATTATTTTTCTTCATAAATGAAAATATAGAAGCCCGAACACAGAATAAAAGAATATTATAGCCAAATCATAACAAATTATAGAGACCTGCCCTGATAATTCGAGAGACACCCTTCTCCTTCTCTTTTAAAAATTTTTAAACCTCAAATTTATATTGAACAATTAAATTAAAATTAAATACCTCAAGAGCATCTTGGTAACGTTCTTCAATCATGAGGCTCGAGATCACATTTCGAAGCTTGGATAATACATCGTCGCCCTTTTTCCCAGGCACTTCATTCGGGGACACCACATGACAGCCGTGAATCCAGTCTGAAATTCCCCGGTCTGTGCCTTACCTCAATATACCGTAAGAATCATATCCTCTTCCAGAGGCACGTAGGCCCTCAATTGTCTTATCAAAAATTGAACATTTTATGGAGGATGGATTCTTATGGGTTCGAGTAGTAATATTAACCGATTTAAATGATAGTTTTGATGGGAGAGAGACGTGGTTGTGGTTGCAGTTGTGGAACTGGAAACAAAGAGACGGTTTTGAGATGGGAAATTGAGATATTACGGCATTGAGAATCGTTGCCATGGATGATCTTGAATTCTGATTTCTGATGAAGACAAGAAAAAGAGGGCAACAAAATGAAAATTTATCCTAGCTTTATGGTTTCGGGTTTTGGGCATGCATCTAGGGAATGCCGAGAAAACCCTAATATTCATTATTTTTAAGGAGGGCGTCCGTAATGGAGATTGCGATGAATTTTAAAAAGTCGTTTAAATTTAGGTATTTTTAATTGAAATTTTAATAAAATATTAAAATTTTGATGTCCCCAATTAAAATTTTAGTGAAATTCATTGAAATTTTTTAAAATTTAAGCCTCCTCAATAATTAGTAGATCTATAAAGATTTCATTAATAGAATGATTTTTTAAAAGATTTCGATAGATTTTAAACATAAAAATATATATAATCAAATATTTTAAAATTTCACAATATTTAATGGAATTCTTATGGAATTTGTGAAAATCTATTCCAATTCACGAAATTCATTAGAATTTATAATCTTCTAAATTCGACAGTGATATGGGTACATTATGGTGTCCATTTTGATGTCCAAAATGGACACTCGAGCCAAGGCGCCTGCCACATCGAGACCCACAGGCCCCTCGGTATTGGCCGAGGCGCCGGGTGTCCATTTTGGACATCACAATATAATACCGACGCGTCGGGTGTCCATTTTGGACACCACAATATACCTCAAACATTTTTCTTCTAAATTTCTCATCGATGAAACTTTGCCACATGAACCCCGAGGTGTCTCTCAAGGTCAATTTTTTTTTCAAAATAGACATCACAATATACCTCAAGCATTTTTTTTCTAAATTTCTCATCGATGAAACTTTGCCACATGAACCCCAAGGTGTCGGTCGGGGTCAATTTTTTGTCCACTGCAATTCTTTGGTATTAAATGACACTTGAGATATATTTATGACAACTTAACCACCTGAGGAGTTTCGTACCCATTAAGATGAGCTTTCTGCCATCTCCATGCTATCTGTAAACTTTCTTGAAGATTAGTACATTTTGCGGTCCAGTTCAATTCGTTTCTGATCTTCATTGGATCACTGAATAGTTTTGCCTTATCACTAGGCCTGCATGGAAGGTAATCGACTTTTTATAGGAATCCCAGTAGCCTTCCCACAAGCCTCCACAAACTCCTCTGTCGATCTAATTGATCTGAAAAAAAAAAAAAAAAAAAAAAAAA